CCGATCTCCGCCTATTTTGCCAAGTTCTCCCTACTCACTCTCGCCGACTTCCACCATTATCGCCTTATGTGTCTCGCCTACCTGGGCTCCCGTGGCCGCCTCCCACCCCCTATCCATCTCCCTTTCCGCCCCCTTACCTCTGCTCGCCGGCATAGCCCTCTCGACTTTTCCCTACCCCCTATTCGGTCCGATTTCGCACGAGCCTCGCCGCTATATCTCATTCCAACCATCTGGAATGCTTTACCCCTAGATCTCCGCACAACTGACCGATACCCCACCTTCAAAAGATTACTTAAAGCCTACTTGATCGCCCGTAGCCCTCCCAATCTAACTCAAACCTAGTGTTCACCATCATGCCTCTCCTCACAATTCCACCATATATGCGGCCTTCGCCTGCGTTTGGTTTGTTTGGTAAATAAATAAATAAATAATAACTCATACCTATTCGATCGAATCCGTCTTCGGTAAGATGATGACCTCCACTCATTGACACAAGTATGAAACAATGAGAGGAGACGTCGCAAACAGAAGCCCGTCCATCTTCCGATCCCTCTCTGGACTCGCGTTCTTTTTTCAAAAAAAATCGCTCTGGGTGTCAAGAATTCGGTAGGAAGTCAAGACTCTGGAGAATTCTTCCCCCTCCAGGTCCCCCGCAGGGGCGACTAATCTCGCCTGAGGTGCCCCGGAGATCGGAGGGTGCCTGACCGAGCTGGCTGGCACTCGAAAAAGAGATAAACACACTTCGACGGAGCTGCAGGCCCCAAACATGCACAGAACGAAGAGTACTCGAGTCATGAAAAGTCAATTTTATGCAGTCTGTCATTCGTGCTCTATAGGCGACCTCGAGCATTATAGCGACAACGTTCCATGTAACGGAGAGCTCCAAAGCAAACGAGCCATGGGGTACGACACCGAATAGAATATTTGACTCATCAACATCCTGAGAACAGCTTCATCAAATCAGGGATATTATTTCTGACCAAGACTCAGAGATCCGAGCTCCATCCTGGACCCCCCGCCGGAGCCCTTAATGATAGTGCCGCATGCATTGCGCACGCGGGCAGGTGCACGTGCTTTATGTTTCCGAATGCGACGTCCCATCCCACAGCCTCGCGGCCGCGTTCTCTCGCTAATTGTGGTTCGGAGGGCCACTATTCCTACCCGGTGCTCCCTCGAACATCTATATTTGTGCCAAAAAGTCGACCGTGAGTTGGAAACAGACTCGTGCTAATCGTCGTGATCTTCCACCGCTTCCGGTAACCAGACAACTGCCGAGAAATGAAGCTTGTCATCGATGAGCAGATCAAACTCGGTATCGGCCAAACCAGTGTGGTTTATCATGGCACGCTCAATGCGGAATCGATAGCCGCAAAGAAATCTACCAATGGGTCTTCGTTGTGTGACGAATCTCGTATTCTGAAAATTTTTAAGCACAAGAACGTTGTGAAGCACAGAGGACTTTTCGAGCTCGCCGGCGGAGACTGCCTCATCATGGAATTGGCACTGGGAGGGACCCTTGCAGAGCATCTCGGATACGGGAAATTTTCCCCGACGCAGAAGAAATCGCTCATACAACAGATCTCTTCGGGACTCGGCCACATCCATGATAAAGGTATCGTGCACCGAGACCTCAAAGCGGAAAATCTGCTCTTCAAGGACATGATGCGAGAGCACATCGTTATCGCGGATTTCGGGTCCGCCCAGTCTTATCGAGACGATGTCTATGCTGAAAACGATCACGAGGATGTCGACGACGACGAGTACACGTTCAAGAGCGATGTTTATCTCCTGGGGCTGGTGGCTTTCCAGATTCTGCGTGACCTCCGGCACTTTGACCGACGTCGCCTCACAGGAGCAGTCCTCCATCAAGGCTATCTCGACAATCAGGACGTTTGTGGAAGTTGGGAGATGTGGCGAATGATTATCCAGTCTCTCGATCGCGAACCCGAAAAGCGGCCCACAGTGATGGAGTTCTTCGCGGCTTTCGGAGCCCCACCTGCATGAAATCAGATGTTCTCGAGGTCGATGGCCTCCTCCCTAGGGTTATGATGTGGCAGGCGGGAACGACTCTCCCCGCGAGGAATCCTCAAAGTTGCTCGACCGCTGGTGACACGCTGCTATAAAAACGAGTGGTTGATTTTTTAGAGCATCTCAGTTTCCGAAAACTGCGCGCACGATCCTCCCGAACTGCTAAGGAATCATTTCCCCCTGTTCTTCTCGAATCATGGGGGAAATTTTATATTAAATTAAGAATTGATGATTCGAAAGTCTTCATCCAGGAATCTCTTTTCAACAAATAAAGCTATGGCTACTCTTAATGAAAAAAATCGTTTTCTGACAAGACGATACGAAAAGTCTTTCCATATGGATCATGGAAATCAAATTTTGTGATTCGATTGAAAAAATTGATCAGGGTGCTTCCGTAATCATGAATGGTGTTCTTGGTACGTCCTGAGGTAGAAGAAGAAGGTTATGCCGGAGCGCTACTTGGATAAACAGTCGGGGCGGCTCCCGAACACTGATGACGTAGACTGACGTCTGACTGAGTCCTCATAATCTCGAAACGGGAGGGTCTAATGAGTAGGGCTGGGAAGCTGAGCCAAAAGCCGTGAATTCTCACCGCATTTTCAGGCGATCCTCCACAGGAAGTCAATGAGGGAGGAGAATCTCTGTGAATTTTTGAGTAAAGTGCCGTGAATGATTCCCAGCCTTACCGATGAGGGATGAACGGACGGTAGAGTTTCTCATCAAAGGGGGATCCTTCAGTTGGACACTAGCAGAATCCATTTCCCCATGTCCTCATTCCATCATGCCTCAAGAGCCATCCATGTGAGGGATAGTCTCCCGGGAGCCTCCAAGGAAGAAATAACTAGCGGACAACATCGCTCACCTCGTCGATTGCCGGTGCAGGGAGAAAGGAGACCGCCATGGAATGATTCGAGCTCTCGGATGAAGATCTCTCGGCTTCACCGGCGATGCAAACCAGACTCCCCCGCTGGCGATAGTCGTCCTATGGACGCACCGGACGGCCGGGAATACCGGGATTGACAAGTATCGATTCCACATCGCTTCTCTGAGGATTAAAGCAAGCAACACCGCTAGCTCTTCACAGTTCACAACACTTCGGTCAGCAGGCACTTTTCCGAAGTTGCGATCAGCTCTCGGATTCGAAATCTTAACTTTGCTTGAGCCATTCCGATATCGGGCTGCCCAGCCTTGAGTTCCCCAAGCATGTGGTCCGCGACATGTCCGGGGAACTCCGCGGAAAACAGAGGATCGAAGCCGTGGGATTCTCAGCAAAGAAGGCACACTTAGTCGCGATTGGGAGGCGGAGATAGGTTCACGCACGAAGGAGGATGAGGGGTCAGCTGAGGTGCTTCCTTTCTCGTATACCGCGCCGGACGGGTTGTTCATCGATACAGACAAACGCATCCGCATTGAAGGGTCCAGGGCGATCCCTCATCGGATACGGGTCCTGCTTTCCGTTGTAACATTTAGAGCAGAAGGCGACGTTACGCTCCAGACGAGAGCTCGTAAAAGTTGGACGACCCTATTCGCGGAGGAAATCGGGACGAATAAGGCCGACCCAGGGTCTAACCAAATACAATTTCGGTTATCAATGCTGACTAATAATGTCGATTAATTGATCGACATTGGATTCGATTCGGTATTGCGAAACGCTTCCGAGACTACGCGCATTCCCAACCGCCTGTGGGGACGGTGCGAGGCGAGAATTCGCGACCACTCCCGGATCCTAGATCGATTCTACAAGCGTATCAGACCGAAGTGATCACTGTATTCCGGGATCCGATTCGCGACCGCCGAATCAGAAATATGCGTTCGTATCCCTCGGCGAGGACTGGATAGTTGCGAAAGCGGAATTCAGTCTCGAACTCACCGAGCATCGATGGTACACGTTACCATCCAGCCGGACTACGTTCGACCATATGGAGGTCCCCGAAAGTAGCATTTTTTTCGGTCAAACAAGAGGCGTGAGGCGATCCTCCAACCAGGCTCGAGCGCACGGAGATGCTGGAACAGCTCGATCGCCGTTCTAGACCTCGGAAGTCTTCCCTAAGTGTGTTGTTCCAGAATCGCGCCCAGGAATTCTTGAGGGCTCGCCTAGTCTGCATAGATCCCATCAAATTTGTTCGTCGTCCTTTCTGTCTGCGAATCCAAGTGCTCGTCTGTCTCTCTGATCGTTCTCTGTCGAACGCAGGAAGCGAATACCATCCGGTCCTCCTCTTCCCCATAAAAAACGGTTGTCTCGGCAACAACCGGTCCTGTCTACGGGCGGAGGCGGATGGAAAACTCAATAATAGCGTCTCCTAGAAATCGCTTCACTCTAGACGTGATCAGGACGAAATGGTCGAGGCCCCATTCGAGCATCTCTTATTTGCTGGAAGCCTAAATACATATTTATGGCAGTAATTTCCATCTGGCTCTCAGCGACTTGTTTTGATCCTTAGTTCTCGACGTCTTCCGTGTGCTCCTTTGAAGTCTCGAGTTGAGCCCACAAAGAGACGCATTTATTTTACCAACCTTCATTAGGTTCCCCCGAGACCCTGACCGTATCGTTATGAGATCAATGGACGAGGAGCTCGCCGATGACTTCCAACTTCCAAGTCCGCTCGATAGTTCCAAGGGGAGTCCCGAATCGCTCCGACAACTCCTCGTGTTCCCCCGACAACTCCCGAATCGACTCTCATTCCCGTAGTTTCGGACACAAAAAAAAATCGGCCCGAGGAACAGTCGACAGGAAGACAGGGAGAAGGTTGACAGCGATTCTCCTCTGCGCTGGACGATGACAGGCAATCAGAGCATCATATTGGGAGAAATTCCGTGAGACGTTTCTCTCAGTCGATCCATCAATCAATTCATGATTCTTAGAACGACATCGATTTCCTTTCGTGACTGGCGAGGCCTGGCCGGAGTGAATCCGAAATTGTGATCATAGGAGCCCCGAATTTCCAATGAGCGTCGCGGAATCCGCGAGCGGGTTACGCGGGGAAATCAAACAGGCACTCGTCTTGAATTTTCAAAGACGAGAAATTCAGGACCTTGAGTTCGGTTACGCATCGTGGTTCATGATTATGGGTGCTGCGCGTCCTGATGGGTTCGTCATTGGCTGGGTTCGTAGAGGAGTCCGATAAGCTCACCGATTGCGGATCGACCGACGCAGATAGTTCTGCTTGAGGAGCCTTGATGCTTTTGTTCCCGTAGGTGAGCACCGATGAACGAGGGCGGCACGGTGCTCACCGCTCGACCGTACACCGATGGCTGTTGGGGGAGCTCTTCGTAGAGGGGGTTGCGGCAGAAGATGAGCTCCGTCTAAAAGCATATCCCTTCTAATGGACTCAGAGCGCCCATCGACGTAATTCAATTCGGCTCCTGTTCGCCGAGCCCAGTAGCACACACCGTGCACGAGCGCGTGCATCGGAGCATGTGCGTCATGCTCATGACCGGTCTGGAATCGTTGCTTTGGACAGACCGCACTCCCTATCAGGACGGTGGTTTTCGGGGAGATCTTGCTCGGCCGACGATCTTAAAAATTCCTCTTCTGCTTCTAATGGGAACCATGTTCGGCAGACGTACGATCGAGATTCGTACTCGCTCGCCCGGAGACCTTATCTGACCGTTGAAGGCGGTCCTCACTGCGGAACATTCAATCGCTCGAAAAACGTTCGGCCTCCTCCTCCCGGGGCTCCGGGATTGATGCAAACGTGACGGCGGACGGTCGGACGGAATAACCAGGAGAGGAACGCGCAGCTCGCTCGGCAGCGAATCTGTTTGTGGAAAAACACCGGAAAAGGAATCAGGATTTCGAAACTGGAATCAATGGACTGGAAACTGGAAATCCTGTTCTAGAATATCTGTGTGGTCCGAGCAGAATCTGGCCTAGTTTCGGGCGAGATTCCGCGGGACGGAGAAGTATCCCCGGTAGCTGTCGTGGATTTCGGATGAAGGTAACGATTTTTGAAGGGACCGAAGACTTCAAATTACGCGGTGTAGGGCATATCAACTTTCGGCGATGGGCTCTCCATGATATCAGCGGCTTGTTGAACGAAGGGACGAACGAGCTCATCCCGGCCATCACCCACCCGCGTCTCCTGAATATGTGGCGTTGATGGTAGTTGATGAGATTCGAAAAGTTCCTGGGGAGGAGCCACGACGAGAAGCTTACCGAGATGAATATTTCGTGCCGAGCGGAGCTTGTCGACAGAACCTCGTTCGATTCTTGCCTCGGTCTTCGGAATCAATGTTTACATTTTCGCATGGCGGACTCCGACCGACGCCTCCTAGACTTCTCGTTCTCTGTGTTCACTTTCCCCACCGCTTGGAGACTTCCTAGATCCGACTGCTCTTTGGAGCATATCGAAGCTGAACTCTTAACTCGCAGAGACATACTTTAGACTCGTGCTGGTGATCTTTGACGTCGAGAGATCCGTCTCGCACCGGAAGTTTTCGCTGCATAGAAGGTCGGAGGATTTTCCGCAAGTCGTCGAGAATCGGGTCGTTACACAATCTTGTATAGTCGAGCAACAAGCAAAGGACGGAACTATACGTAAACGAACCGAAAACGATTTCAGATTACGACGCTGATTATGTGAGCTTATTATGGATCTGCGCTCGACCTTTTCAATGCTGCCAACGAGGCGATGAGTCCCGATCGGAGATTGAGCGACGAAGGCTCTCTCCGCCGGACCCTTGTCCGACCATCGTCCTTGTGCCTGACGCTCATTCGCCAGCCCCAGCTCCGACCTCAGAGACATACGTGTTCAATCGGAATCCGTCGACCTTGTATTTTGATTTGGCTGCTTCCGTCGACAGCCTTGCCATAGCAATCGCCGACCATCCCCACCGAGATGGTCGTTTCCGCCGCAGTTATTGTACTGCGAATAAGAGAGATAATCTATTTGGAAGAATTAACCTCGGTGAGTTTGCAGACACTTCGCCCGGACTCCGTGGGAAGGAGAGCCGGGAGCGAGTTGGAAATCAGAGAAGCAGGATTTCCTGTCTGGCCAGGGAAGGGGGGCCGGAGAGGAACTGCAGAGAGCGAGGAAACGAGACGGCCGGAGAACGTTCAGGTTCGTGAGGCTATCCGCTCCTCGCTCCGTTCTGTGGCGATTCGCGAACGGCCGGGAACATTAGCGTGTCACCGGAGCAAAGATACGCCGCCTGATGGCGTCGTCTGAGCTCTTACTCGGGCCTTGAGAGGTAACCTCAGGTGAAGAGACAGGTGCAGTCCTAGCGGAGGGAACAGAGGACGGTCCGGCCGCCGCGCGGGATGCGCAAGGAATAAGCTATTCCTCTATTCCTAATTCGT